ACCACGTGGTCATGAGCTCCTTCTTCTCCAGGATGGCATCCTCATCTCCCACCAGGATCTAATGGGATAAAAACACAGGGGTCGTTCTGCAGATTCAGGGATGTACACAGATGCACTGTAACTCCTGCTTTGCAAAGGTGAGGATTTAATCAAAACCAAATAACAAAGCTCCTTCTCAGAGCCCAGTTTCCTCATCAGCCTTATGGCCTTGGACAGGGGAGAAACAGATCTGCCCAGGCTTGCAAAGGCTGTTGCAAACCAGGAACACAGGACAGGAGACTGGCCTGAAATCCAATTTAATGAACACATCATCCAGCATATTAAAGTTACTTATGGCTACACTGAGCTCCTGCAATCCACAAGGACCTGTCCACAGCTTCCTTCCTTCCCAACAAAAACACACCTTGCAGATGGACTCCATGTGGGGATTGGATGCGAAAGTCCCATCCTGTAGAAACCGCTGGCATTCCTCGTGCCAGTGCTGCCATTTCAGCTCCAGCTCAGTCAGTGTCTGGGTGTTGCCAAGCTGAACAGAGGGTAAGAAACACGGAATAAAGGAAACACCAAGGCAAATCACAACAGGCACTTGGGCTGAACTCACAGTGGACCCTGATAAAAAGCTAAACATGGGGCTGCCCGTGATCCCTCTATATTGGTTTGTCACCTAACAGGCTTTCATCTGAATTGTTGGGTGTTTGGGCAATTCAAGAATACAAATACTGTTACTGTAAAGGAACAGGAGTGAGATGTTCTAATGGGGAATAATTTGTTACAGGGGACACACCAGAGGTAGCTCTTTTCCCAATGAAAGGCATGAAACAATGCGCTTTGTACGTACAGTGGGCATGGGCATCTTCTTCATCAAGTCATCCAAGATTTTGTACATGTTCATTGAGGTGGGATTGGCAGTGACTTCCTTGGAGAGCAAGTGTCGTGCTTCGTCCATCCGGCCTTGGAGCACAAAGACATCCACCTGCAAAATCCACCTGTCCATGAGCACCCAGGAAGGGCATCAGAGGGGAACTCTAACTTGTGATTCAGGCAAGTGCAGTGGAGTTAAAATGCTTAAACTGCTCATTCAAATACACAGTGTAAGTGTTGACCTCCAAGGGTCGTGAAAGTGCAAGGCCCAGGATGGAAAAGAGGGGCAGGATGGTCTTTAGAATGGCTTCACCTTAAAACCTACATGGGCAGAGAGCAGCAGCCTCCCAGTTCTGAGCTGTGGTCAAGCAGGGAAGAGGAAGGAAAGCACACAGGCACGAATACTCTTTGTTTAAGAATCTTGCAGGTGATGGCACTCACCACGTTCCAGAAGAGCTTGTGTTTGGATGGGTTCTCACTGCTCAGAACTTCCCGGACCATGCTGTCCACATCACACACGTGGAGCCGCACCCAGTCCAGGAGGCGAAGCAGGAGGGGACCAGCTGTGTGCAGACAAGGTTACCCTCTTAGTTCCCACCTGTTTGTTCCCAAACTGCTCTCTCAACAAAGCTTAACGGTTTGACATCATTAGATGACGTTCACTGGTTGGATTTCTACCTCCCACTCAAGTTACAGAGCTCCCTAAGCTGTGGGAGCACCCGCTGCTGACAGGTTTCCCTGTGGCAGATTTTAGACAGAGCAGCAACAAGGCCCAGCAGAAAACCCAAACCAGTTACTTGAAGAAATAAAAGGTGACTCAGCTCATAAATCTTGCAATGCCAAAAGAATATTTCTGTTTATTTTAAAGTCAATTCATTACTATTAACTGAATATGAGGAAGAAATTTGGCATTTGGTGATTAGGTGATTATCTTTTCTTCAGATTAAGTAACTGATAATTTGTGAATCTTTTCAGAATTCTGGGACTGTGCAAGTATTTGTTTGCATAATCTGATTTCCTTAAAAAATTATTTACTACTTTAAAATGCTGGTGTAAACAAACTGACTTCAAAAATGGCATCCTAAAGTTAAAGCTGTTATCAAGTCAGCTGGCATCGACATATTTGATGCTAAAAGATGTGTGTATACTTAGAAGTCAAATACATTGGCAGCAACTTTTGATATCTCCTCTCTTTGTAACCTATCTGATAAAGAGACAATTTAAATCAGTGTACCACACAGGAGGGAGGAAAGTAGAAGGCAAGTTGAATAGCTTGACATAATTCAATATGAAGAAGGCAATTAACTGAAGCAGAAGGGATATTAAAAGGCTTATTGACACTCAGCATATCTCTAAAACATTAAACTATGACATAATGGGTGCTATATACATTTTAAACAAATAAATATGCAAAGAAAAAAAAAAAAACCTTCAGTCTTAACACCAGGATAGTTCACTGCTCACCTGCAGCTGCTTCAACAAACAGTATCTCACAGAGGTTCCAGATCAGCTCCATCGCAGAGAGAATGGAAACCTGAGGAAAAGCAGGGCCAGGTTTCAGAGTTAGTAATTATTCCAGTTGGGTTTTGTAACCACACAAAGGCATCTGCTGTCCATGGTAATCAGTTAAACTCAGTTTGTACAGAAAAATGCCATACTGACATTTCAGAGAGAGAAATTAAAGCCCATGTCTTCTCCCCACACACTCAGCTCAGAATGTATTGATGCTGTTTGTGTTCTGAAATGCAGCAATCATCAGTCACCAGTGGGCAATACCAACCAGTGCTATTGTCAGCCTTTGGCACTTGTAAGATTAATAATACAGAGAAGGAAGCAAGGCCAAAGGAGCAACATCACTGCAGCTAACAGGACAAAACTGCTGTGAGCACCCTGCTCCTCCCAGAACACTCCTGTGGTGTCCGACAGCTCACAGTGGACACCCAGAGCTTGCTGTGAGGCTCAGATGCAGCTGGTTGGAATCTGAGTGTTGGAGAGGTGAAGACTCAGACAGGCAAGTCTGAAACTTTTCTGATCAGTCAGCTTTGAGATGATAAGAAAACATTATACCTATAACACTAAATATGTAAGACACAGCAGTGAAATGAGGCGTTGGACATCTTTAGAAGGAGGGGAACTAACTATTTCTTTCCTTTTATTCTTGGTCATGAACTGCACCTCCTGTACTAAGACAGAGTTAAATCTGAAGTGCTTTATGTCACAGTGGTGGCCTGGTGAATTCACCAGCCAGAGATCCCTGTTCAGCTGTGACTGGGTGACGAATGCAGGTTACCTGGGTGCTGTACTGGCCTTGCAGGGCAGGGTCCCGAGTTGAAACTGAGGGAACAAGAAAAGTCAAAGAGCAACACATTTACCTGTGACAGCCCCTTCTAGGCTCATAAATAAGACAATAATACGTGATTACTCATCAAGCACAGACCTAAATGAGCTTTGTAAATTTGTTTTATAAATCCTGTGCAAAACTGGGTATGGTTACAGGGCACAGATGCGTAACATTTCCCACTTTCTGGGGAAGCAAGCTATTAAACTGGATTCAGTTTCCTGTAAAACTGGAGCCGAAGATATGAAAAGGCTTGAAGTCCCCCAGAAATCAGTTAAAACACTGTGGGGAAAAAAATAATCTCTGACCAGATTTACAAACTAACTTGGAAATCTGTGGCATGAAAGTGGAGTCCTGAGAATTACTGAAACCTACCCATGCTATAGTACAGTACTTGCAGTAACTTACCATTGAAATGCTACTTTTATAATCACAGTTAATGTTTCCTTTTCTTGCAGGAGGAGAACAAACCAACTTACCAGCTGCCTGGTGCATGTCCTCCATGCAGGCTCTTATCACCGACCGATAGTTTTTACTCACTTGAACCAACCTGCCAAACACAAAAAGCCTTTGGTTGGAGAGAGCTGGTGGAGTTTTAGTCACATGCCTACTGCCCTTGCAAGTCTCTCTCAGGAGCAGCAGATGCTCCCAACACTCGGGTGGCTCCAGCTGGAATCAACGAGGCTGTGCCACACTATACATTGGCACAGGCTTGTCAGTGTGGTTATTGGAAGGATGGGATTCTTGTTTTGTAACATCACCCCAAAACGATCATTGTTTCTGCCCTGCTGCTGATTGCAAAGCTGGTCAAAGCAGCCTGGCCAGGGGCGCATCCCTCACTGGAGGTGCCGGCCCGGCTGGGAGAGGGGCAGAGGTGCTCCCCACCCTCCCGCGCCCCAAAACACTCACTGCGCCTTCCGAGACTTCCCCGCCAGCTCCTCCTCGCTGCGCTGCAGCCCCATGAAGATCCCGTGCGACTCGTTGAAGAGTTTCCGCAGGGTCTGGATGTAGATGTCCTGATCCCTGCGCACCACGAACACGCGGGACGAGCCGGGCGCTCCCTCCCCGGCGTCTGCAACAGAGCCCGTCAGTGCCCGGGACCTGGGCCGGGACAGGGACCGGGATGGGGACCGGGACCGGGACCCACCTGCGCGGCCGAAGCGGGTCTCGCACACCAGCACCTCGGCGGGGCCCCAGGCGAAGCAGAGCTGCCAGGCCGACGGGTCCGCGCCCGGCACCACCTGTGTGGGGACAGTGACCCGTCAGCGGCGCCCCGGCCCCGCACCTGCCCCGCCCGGCCCGCCCGCCCCGCACCACGAGCGGCGGCTCCGTGTCCGTCTCCTCCATGGCCGCTCCCGCTCCCGCCGAGGCTCCGCAGGCCCCTCCGGGCTGCCCGCACCGCCGCCTGCCCGCCCCGAGCCCCGCGGGCCGGCCTGGACCCCGCCCCGGCCCCGCCGCCGCCGCCCCGGCGGAGCCGCCCGCGGACCGGAGGGAGCGGAACGGGCCCCGGTCGGGGCAGGCGCCGCCGCTCGCCCCGGAAGCGCCGCCCCTGCCGAGGCCCCGCCGGGGCGGGACGGGCCCCGCTCCGCCCCCAGCCCCAGCCCGCCGGAGCCGCGTCCCGGGAACGGGCTGGGGCTGCCCCGGCGGGGCTCTGAGAGTCCGCGTGGGGAGCGGGGGAATGGGGCGTGTGGAGGGATGGGGGGAGGGAGGGATGGATGGATGGATGAATAGACGGAGGGATGGAGGGTGGAGGGATGGATGGATGCAGGAATGGATGGATGGAGGGATGGAGGGAGGGAGAGATGGAGGGATGGAGCCGCCCCATCTCGCTCTACCTCATTTCCCTGTCAGGAGGGATTTAGTGCGCTGGGTGCGGTGCTGGCCCTGGGTGTGCGGTGCAGTGATCAGCTGGTCAATCGGCGTTCAAGAATTGCAGGATCGGTCAGGTTGGAGGGGACATCTGGTCAGTGAGGTCATCTGGTCCCACCTCCCTGCTCCAGCAGGGTCATCCCACAGCACAGAGCACAGGATTGCACCCACACGGTTCTGGAATATCTCCAGTGACAGTTCTGGGAGACTCCACACTCTCTCTGGGCAATCTGGCCCTGTGCTCGGTCACTGCACAGCGTTGTCTTTGTGCTCACTTTATTGACAGCCATATAATAACAAGTTTCTCATTTCTTTATGCACACAAAAAAAACGTGCAGGTACGTGAGCCTGCAGGATGCTGAAGGTGACGCTCTCTGGAGCTCTCAGGTGACCTCACTGATAAAGCCGACTAATCAAATTACGTGCCCTGTGACTTCAGTGAGTTGGGGAAGGCTCATAATGGAGCAGGATCCCAGCAGGAAGAACTCCTGCTGTGCCTTATTCAATTACTCAGGGTCCTGGTGGAGGTCGGTACCCCCTGGGCAGAGGTGGCTGCTGGAAGCTGTGTCATCAGCTTTCTGCTGATGCTGGGAGCTCACACGCCATGGGAGTCAACTTGAGTATCCCTTGATACCTTGGTGTGATAAAACACTAACTGCATCCTGCTCCTCCCATCCTGCTCTCCTTCCCACCTCTGTGTACTCCTCACTTTTTGCCTGTGCCTCCCAATAACCAAGTTGTCCAATGCTACACTTTTTAAGACAAATATTAGCAGTGCTGTCTTGCTGACCTCACAGCTGGAACCAGTCCCTCTCAGGCTGGTGCTTTTCAGAGACGCTCACTTAAAAATTAATTTTTCAAGATAGCGTAAATCATCCTGCTGTCCTCCTATGGCAAATGCTGCAACACTCCACGGCTAAATTGCCCTTTTTTACTTATCAGCTGCTGCATCCATCATTTCCAATAAAAATAAAGCCAGCAGTTATCTCTGGCAAAGAGTATGTCATGTCACCAGCCATGCTGAGAAAGGAAGTGGTGTCTGCTCAGGTCAGCAGGAATGGCTTGTTGCAGGGTAGGAGAACTTAAATGCTCAGAAAGCTGCTTGAGAAACTGACTCATCAGTTTTAAATATCTCACCTTTTATTGTGGGTAAAGGTCCTGGGTTTTGTGTTTCGGGATGTGCGTGTATTCAAATTTCTGTTGTACAAAATCAAATTCAGCTCTTGTCTGACAAAATGGTGTGACTTCTGAGGATGTTAGTGGGGATGCTTAGATCTAAAATGGCTCCAGACACAAATGAAAACTGGATGAAAATCCAGCAGTAAGAGGCCTCCTGCCTCCACTCCTCAAGGGTAAGGTGCTGCTTCTACAACTGCATCTGTTTCTTGTGACTGGCAGAATACAGATGGAATATACCCCGTGTAGGGAACACGGCCCTGCCTGCAGCCCAAAGGCAGGTGGCCAACCTTTACCACCTGTATTGCAAGGCCTGATGACCCCAGAGAGTGCCTATCCCTCACTGGTGTTTTTTTCTCTTCCTCAGCATGGAGAGAGAAGTGTTGATGGCTGAGGTGGTGGATCTGGGAGTGGGGCAGTGTCCTCTTCTGCTCCAGCATCCATCTGTGTAAAGAGACACTGAAAGCTGGAACTCTGATCCTCTCCCAGTTGTCTCTTGGCAGGTGCAGTCCACTTTGCTCACTCACCAGAGGCCTCAGGGTCTTTTTCTATCTGCAGCATCTGGTGTTCTAAAATTGATGAGGAATGTAGCTGGTTCCTGGGGAGGTCATCTTGGGAAAGGTGAGTTTTACTATGAAATCCTAACATTTCTTACTCCTCCTTTGAACACTGGAGCTCTGCACATATCTAGAAGGGAAACATTCCTGCTCATGTCTCAAAAAGGCTTCTGTGCCTGTCCAGTCCAGGTAATTAAGCAAAATTGGGATTGACTGTGTCACCATGGAACTTCATATTGCTCAAAAAGGCTTTGGAGCACAGGCTCTGGGTCCAGCAAGGAAGGCAAAAGCAGAGAGAAACTGCATTGCTGTCTTACAGCCAGGAGAAAAATAAAAATAAAAATAAAAAATAAATAAATAAAAAAAAAAGGTCTGATGAGGATAGGAGTTTAGTAAGTTGTGAAACAGGAGGATTGGAAGCTATTTGGGGAACAGGGGGAATGATCAGCATCGTGAACAGGGAAGGCACAGCACAGGCAGGGCCTCAGGCAAAAGGTAATTTCTATTCCCAGGGCTAAGCCAGAATTAACGAAGAGCAAAGGCTGAGTAAAGCACTCAGACCTGCAGGGTTGGGGCTGAGCTCAATGCACTCATTTATGCCTCCAAATTACTGTTTGCTTTCTGTCCTTGCCTTGGACTCAGTGCAAAGTAACACACAGTTCTGGAAGGGCTGGAGTTGCTTTTGTAGGCTTATGCTTGCTGATGGGGAGGAACACACACTTTCTGCCTGTAGCAGCCTTAATATCTTAAAAATCTTAATGATTTAAAATCTCGGTGTGAAGGGAATGCATGTCGAATGCCTGTATTCCCTACCCTCCTCACTAGAGGCTGGTGAATTCAGCCAAAGAGCTCTGCAAGATACACCACATTTCTTCCTTACAAAAGTGCTGTGCAAGAATTAAACAAAGCATGGAAATATTTTAAGACACAACACGTGGACCTCTTTTTTTTTTTTTTTTCCCCTCAGAGTTGGAATGTCTCAGGAATTCTCACTGGGATGCTTCCCTATTCACTTGCCTTCAGCTCCTTGCATTGAAGAGGAGGAGCTGAGAGGGACAAAAAGCTTTGCTTTGCTCCCCTCTGCTGCAGCCCGGGCCCTGCAGGACTGGCCTTTGTAGTTCCCAGTGTGGCTTCTCCCCCGCCGCTCGCTCCGAGTGCTGCCGGTCCCTTTGCAGGTTTTAGCACTGCTTATTGTCAGCTCCACCGAGCCTCTGGTTTCTCAGAGTTCCCTCTGTTGCTATGTAAAAAGAAAAGCCACATAGAGATGAGGTTTGTAGAAACCTGCTCCGTGATTTGGGATCTGTGTAATTGGCGGTGAGGCCGATGCTGGTACAGCTGAAACAGTTTGCAGCCTTTTTGAGCACATCTAACTCCTGCAGTGGCAGCGCAATCCCATATGTCCTCATAAAATCTAGAGTATTTTCTTGTCTTTTTTAGCACATTTGTTCTATTTGTGATGCTGCCTTAATGTGTGTCTCTCTTGAAGCCATTCCTGCCTTCAGTTCTCTCATGCCGTGCTCAGGCCTCGGCCAGTTTCATCCCACCTCCCAAAGAAGCACAGGGGTCTCCAAGGAGGGAGGGGGAAGAAATGACAACAGCAAAACAAAACAGGAGGGTCATGCAACATCAGCCTTGTGATGCCTTTCCTCACATTTCTCTGAGATGTTGCATCATTTCTAAAAATAGAACTTAAGGTCCATTGGGAATTGGCATTTGGCCTTTGTTCTCTGAACTACCCCTGTGGGTTTGGAGTCTTGCTTAAAAATGGCATGGATGAGGTAGAAGAATAGAGGGGGGATTAAGGTGCTTTATTTCCTTGTCATGTAGTTCTGCTGCTTAGTGATGATGATGGACTTTAGAAGGTCCAAAGGGCTTGCCCATTGCTCTTCAGAGCTCAAATAAAAGGAGGCTGATCAACCATCAGACATGTGAGGGGGATTTGGACGGAAGCACATTGTCTTCTCTAGCCACAGGTGCTTCTCAGCTCCCTGTGACTGAAATAAATAGAAAAAATAATAGCATGAGTAATTAAAGTCAGAGAAAATAGGCAGGATCAAGTGATTGGAACAGTCTTTTGATGATAAATCAAGGCAAATGACACAGGTAGGAGTGGAAGCACAGCTCAAAGGAATGTCTGTTTGAGTCTCAGTCACAATTTGAAACAGCATCTGTTGCCTTCTTGGGTCAGACTGAGTGCTTCCAGTGCTTGGGATTTTTCCAGAACTGACTCAAGAAGACTCTTCAGAAGAAGTAAAATACCAAAAGTGAGAGGTTCTATGAAATTTTAGATTAAATTCGATCTTTCAGAGTACTGAAGCAGAGGGAAAGTTCTACAATATATGGGAGCCTGGACTACAAGGAGATGGTAAAAGGCTTCACAGCAGCGTTTTGTGGAAGTTCAGCTGCCTGCCTGCCTCAGGTAGGGCTGTGCCTATGTTATTTTCTCAACTGTGGACTCAGATAAAGGTTTGGCTTTAACTTCCTCTGCTCAGTGGGTGTTACTGTTCTTCAATTTCCAGAAAAAAAAACAATCCCTGTGTCTGCACTCGGAAGAAGCTGGAACGTGAAATAACACAGGCAGAGGAGGGGGATCAGAGCTGACAGTGAAAAGGGAGCCTGGCAGCCTGGGCTCTGCCTGTAAGCAGAGTTTCAGTTCACTCGATATTTCACTATTTCAGTGGTTCATTATGGACAGGGAACATCTCCAAAATGGTGCAGGAAGTTTTGTCGTGCCGGGAGCAGAGGGTGTGTGTGACCATATGGCCACCTCTGTGCCGTGACCCTGGAGTGTGTTCCCACGTGGAGCGGCACCAGTGTGGAATGATGCCCACCTGGGAAATCCATCCCTGAGGTATTGACAGGGGTCATTTTTGTGGTGTTCCTTTTCCACCTATGTGACGTAGAGAAACAGTTGAACAAATGATTGTGGTGGGTGTAGTGCTGAAGAAAAAAGGCACCAAAACCATTTTGTGGGAACCTATGAAATCCCTGGAGTTACTGAGAATTTCCTCTTCCCTTCCACTGGAACAAACTTGAAGAAATCACATCGTTGGTGGTATATCCTGTGATTTATGTAGTGTAATTTATGTATTGTAATTGTTGGGGTGCTGCATCATGCCCTCAGCTTGCTGAAGAACACACATAAACTTTGACTGAATTTAGTTCAATTGAAGGTGTATTTTTGGGATGTGGCAGGGACTCTGCTCCGTCAGCAGACACTGCACCTCTCCCTCACCGGAGCAGCCCAGGGGGTTTGGAGGGCACCGTGTGGGTGCCAGACCCCAGAGCCTCCATAACACAGCAAGGGACAAGAGTCAGGGGGGAAGATTTGGGGAGGCCCAGGATGAGGCTGAGAGAAGAGGGATCACAGAATCAACTGGGTTGGAAAAGACCTCTGAGATCATCGAGTCCAGCCTATGATCCAACACCACGTCAACCAGAGCAGGGCACTGAGTGCCATGTCCAGCCTTTCCTTGAACACCTCCAGGGACGGGGACTCCACCAGCTCCCTGGCAGCCCCTTCAGTCGGGCTGGGGACGGCCAGGGGAAGGAGTGTGTGCAGAGAACGCTGTGTGGGGCACTGAGGCGGCTCTGAGGGGGCACTGCTGGGCGGCCGGGCAGCTCTGAGATTTAAAACATGAGGAGGCCCAAGATGAGGCTGAGACAAGAAGGATCCTCAGGGGAAGGGGTGTGTGTGGGGAGAGCGGCGCGAGGTGCTGAGGGGACACTGATGGGGCTGTGGCGAGTCGGCTTTGGGGAGACTTAATATCTGAGGAGGTCATTACACGAGAGGGGGATCGCCAGCGCAGGGCGTGTTGGCGGAGGGCGCGAGGGGGCCGTGAGGGCGGCCCGGCGGCCATTTTGCGGAGGACAATGCCCGCCGCGCGGGGCGGGGCGGGGGCGCGCGCACGCAGCGCGCGGGCAGCGCGGGCCCGGGGGCGCGCGCGCGCCCCTCCCCTCCCGCCGCCGCCGCGTTATGTAACGGCCGCGGGGCGCGCGCGCGCTCCCTCCCCCGGCCCCTTCCCCTCCCGCTCCCCCTCCCCCGCCCCGGCCTGGCCCCGCCCTCCCCGCGCGCCGGGGCCCAATGGGCGGCGGGGACGCGCTCGGAAGGGGAGAGCGCGGCGGGTGCGCGCACGCACGGGGGCAAGGCGCGGCCCCGCGGCTGTGCGTGCGCGCTCCCGGCCCCCCCCGCCTTCCCCTCTCTCTGTCCCTCTCTCTCCCTCTCTCCGCCGCGCTCGGCCGGCTCTGCCCCCCCTTTGTGCGCGCTCCGAGCCGCCCCCGCATCGCCGACTCGCCATGGCCGACGAGAAGCCCAAGGTGAGGCCGGCGCGCTCCGCCGCTCCTGCCGCCGCGCTCGGCCCCTCAGGCGGCGGCCCCGGCCCGCGGCCCCCGCGCCGCCTTTGCGCGCCATTTTCCTGCGCGGGCTGGGGGGGGGCCGCGGCCGCGGCTCCCGGGGCGGGCGGGGGATCCCCGGGGAGGGGGGGGGCGAGCCCGGGCCGCCTTCCCGCCCTCCGCGGGGAGAGAGGCAGGTCTGGAGGCGGTTGTTGCTGCCTTCCTCCTCCTCCTCCTCCTCCTCCTGCTGCCGCCGCTCGGCCGCAGCATCCCCGTGGCCGCCCCGGCCGCCGCTGCCCACACGGTCCCCGCTCGGCTCCGGCCCCTTTGTGCCGCCTCCGGCCCCGCTCCGGGCCGGGAGGGGCGCGGGGGCCCCGCTCCCCACCGCGGGAATCAACAGGGACCCGGACGAGGGGTTGGATGGTTTGGAGCTTTTTTCCCCTCATTTTTATTTTTGTTTTTTCCTTTTTCTCCCCCCACGATTTTTAACCCGAGTTCGAAGTGGCGGAGGGCGCGGAGCGGACACATGGCGGGACCCGGCGCGCAGGGACGAGGGAAAACAAAGCTGGGATCTGGGATGTGGGATGTGGGTTCGGGGCACCCCCCGAGCGGGACGGGCTGGATCCCCTTCCCCTGCCCCCAGAACACGAGGGGCCCAGCTGGAAGTTGCTCCTCCGCGGTTTTCCCCTCCCAGAGGGAGCGGGAGGGTCGGGCTGCGTGTTAGGGGGGGGTGTTCTTAAACCTCTTCTGAAGGGGAGGCTTTGGGTCGCTTCAGGTTTTGTCGCCTTTTCAAATACAGGCCTTTAAAGTATCTCGAAAGTTTTCTTCAGAAGTACCTCAACCGGTAGGAAAAAGTTTGAGATACTGCGAGAAAGAGCCTTGCTGCTGGTTGGGATCGCAGTTATAACACAGAACAGAGTTATAACAGATCGTTGTTATAGCACAGATAACTTCATCCCTTTCATTGGCAACACTGATGTTGCATATTATTGTGCCCTTGATAGAAATAACTTTTTTTTTTTTTTTTAAATCTGTTAAACCCCTGGCCTAGTAACTCTTCATTGCTACTTTGCCAGCCTCCAGAATGACAGCTAATATTAGTAGGATTTGGGGTTGGGTTTTTTTTTGTACGTGGCTTTTTTCTTTAAATTTTCAAATAAAAACTCCTGTCCTTTATTTCCTATTCAAGTTTTCAAGTCATTAAACAGCTGTAGTATCTTTATTTCCTCTTTTTTTTTAATGACCTGTTGCACTTTGGTAAAATGTTAACTTCTTGTTTCATACCTTCTTTAAAAAAAAAGTGTTGGTTATTTTTTTTTTCTTTCCTTTTATTTCCTCCACAGGAAGGAGTGAAGACTGAAAACAATGACCACATTAATCTGAAGGTGGCAGGGCAAGATGGGTCTGTGGTGCAGTTTAAGATTAAGAGGCACACACCACTTAGTAAACTAATGAAAGCCTATTGTGAACGACAGGTATGATCTCAGGAGAAACGGTGTCTGGGGGACAGTGATCTCCACGGGGACAGATGAAGACACTTGCAGTCTTAAAACTATGCAAATATGCAAAATGGTAGAGGTTTAACAGAAACTAATTGCGTTGTGGAAAGTGTATTGTCCTGAGGGTCTGTGGCAGGGGGGACTGAGAGGGTTGTGACAGGAAATGGGTGAAATAAAGATGGGTTGTTATCTGTAAAATCTGCATTTAATAGGTGGAGGCTCTTGGGAGGCGACTGCTGCTCTGCTGCTCAGAAATATCAGCCTGGAAAGGGTGGGTTTGGTATGAACTTAGGAGGAGGGTTGAGTGATAATCAGGGATTTTTATAGCTCTGAGTAACTTCTTGGTCTCGTCACTGACTTGCGATTTGTTATCTTAGTATTACTGTATTGACAGGAGAGGATATTTAGTTTGAGAAGGAGCTTCTACATTTAATGATGACCTTGGTTTTTCTCTTGTGGCCTAGTTGACAAATTAATCCTCTGAGGGACAAAAATCATGTATTTTGCTGGAGTGGTGACAGCTGCAGGCAGCTATTACAAGTTTTAAAAACACCTGTTGGAGTATTGCTATGGAACATTTTCTTCTGAAGCTTTTGATAAGGAAAATTTTGTCTCTGCTGTCCATTTTTTTTTAAACGACTGTGTACCTTTAAAAAGTTCCAGCTCTACAAAAGTGTTCAGAATTTGGAAAATGTTGGGTTTTTAAAAAAAAAAAAACAACAAACCCAGAAATATTCAGTGATACTATTGAATACAAGTAAAGTCAGAATAAAATACTTAATCACCAAGAAAAACAAACTGCAATTCACCCACAGAGTGGTAAAACCCCTTTGGCTTACCCTGTGCCACAATAGGATATGAAAAAAGAGAGGAAAAAATCAGCTCTTACTGAACATGTGAATATGTTCTTGTGTGAGTGTTCTGGGGATAAATCAGTGAATGCCTGAACTTGTGAGCTCGTTTTTCCTACCTCAGTCATCCAGACTCTTGTTATGTTTTGCAAATCACCCGGTGTTGCTTTTTCCAATCGTAAAGTCCAGTTGTATCTGTCTTTTTGGGATTTTGAGGAGTGGTTATTTCTCTGTAAGGTCTTGGGAAATAAGAAGTAACCATTCATACTTCAGTTACTTTGAAACAAGCAAAAGTAAGATTGTACAACTGCCCAAAATGTCTGTTCTGCTTAAAAAAACCCAAACCCAAAACCAAAAGTAGCAAAAAAACCCCCAGGTGTCAATTGGAGGAAAAAAAATTAGTAAATCTTGATAGTGGGAGAGATTTGTTCTGATTTCAGTTTTATCCAGCAGGTATCCAAAGAATATTTCTGTGGAGATGGAGCTGTCTTTACATTTTATTTCTTAGGTGCTTCTCAAACTTGGTTTAAAAGCATTTGTTCTGCATGTCTCTAAAAGTTAGGTTTTATTCATGTATTTCTTCACCTAACCAGGTGCTCTCAGGCTTAAAATCCTTCAGCTGTGGACTTTAGATTTCACTTTGGAGAGGTGGTCCAGTAGAGGATTTGGCAGTTTTAAAGAATGAAAATTGTTTAGTGTGTGTAGGAGACCTAAAATGGAAGTAACTAACCCTTGAATGATCTGTTTAGAAGATGAAGACTACTTGTGATTATTTTAAGTGGTGAAAAAATCATCCACGGAACATAAACTCAGTGTTTTGTGGACACTAATCCCACCAAAGAAGAGCTTTTCAGTATGTTTTCAGCTAACATTTATTTAGCATGTAAAGCTGTCAGGAACCTGCAATAAACAACACTTTTGGGAAGAGGAAATATGTCTTTTAAGCAACGTAATGTCAGAGAAAAGGGCTCCAACCAAATGTTGCTGTGCAGAAACACGTTCCTGCCATGACACTGAGCCACAGGGTTTTCTCAGACCAGAGGATGCTCTGAGTGAACACTGCAGAGTCTCAGTCCTGCCAGAGAAGGCATTTTGCTATGAAATATTAAGTTAATAAGAAAAGTTTACTTGTATTTATTAAAATATGTTTCCCTGACAAATCTGCTCCTCAGAAATAATTACTACATTGTTTTCCTTTGTGTGTTACATCCGCTCTTGCAAAGCTAAGTGAAGGCTTCTGTTCTAACTCAGAGATGCCAAAGCACGACCCTGCAATCCACTGGATTGGTTTCAAAAGCCAACGAGGCTTCTTGGATATTTAGATACTCCAGAGGGAATAGACAGAACTGGGAAGGAAGCAGAGCCCAAGGCTCTGGTTGTATCCCTAAATGTTATTCACCTTCTCCTGCAGAATGTGGTGTGCTGTGAAATACCTTTGCAAACTCACCAGTGATTTTGGAGCTCATGTTATTAGTTGTTGCTCCCAAGTTATGTTTTTCAATCTATTGGCTCAGGTGAGAATGAGAAGTATTGCAGGGATGGAAGAGGTCAGCAAAATGAGTGCTGTGTGGTAGAAATGCTCATTCAGAATACCACTTGATAATTTCTGGCAGTAGAACATTCCTTTATTTTATTTGGAAGTTCCTTCTGTGCATGGAAAAACACTGATTTCTTGATAATAGGAATTCGACATAAAAAGTTCCCATTTCTTACTCTTTGCTGCTGAAGATTAATATTGTTGTTTCATTTCTGGGCAAAATACTTTAGAATGCCTTTTGTTTTTGGGGCAGATCAAAAAGGAGTGTTGAGTATCACTGCTTGACATTTGTTACCTGGAGTGTTGCATCTGTTTTTTTCAGTGAATTATTCAAAAGCACAATAAACCTCCTGGCCTTTGGAGCGTACCAGGAATGGCTTTATTTTAACTCGCAGTCAGTGGGGGCACTGTTGCTTCTCTGAGTTGTTGGACACAATGCAATGTTTAATACAAAACAGATTGCAGGGATTTGGAGTGAAATGCCGAAAAGTCAGGGCATGAGGGGAGGACAAAAACTCTGTCCTGCATTAGGGTGGCTTTTAATGATTGTGCTCAAGAGCAAACCAGTGAGTACTTTTACACCAGCCTTAATGTCCCTTTGTGTTGCTTCTCTTTTGTCTAGGGGTTGTCAATGAGGCAAATCAGATTCCGGTTCGATGGGCAGCCAATTAATGAAACAGACACACCTGCACAGGTAAACAGCAAAAGCAAGGCTAAAGAACTGCAAAAACACCCTGCAAGTTTGCTACAGGAGTTGATGCTTCTGCCTTCCTATAAAATACTTGTGTAAATGTATATATTAGTGATAGAACTGGATTTTTCTTTGTCATTATTTTGGTGTAACTAGTTTAGAATTATTAGAAATAGAATGCAGGACTTTCTAGTCTTTTGAGTAATGAGTCTCTGTCATTGTAATAAGAAAATTAAGTGCAGTGTACAGATGGTGGGTCCTGTGAAACTGCCACTTGATTGAGTCACGGCTCTGAGGTAAGGATGGTAAGTTAAGAACTGAGTTTTTCTTGAAGCAATGGCTTTATTTTTTACATAAAAGCTTGCCAGGATGTTGTCAGAGATCCTGTTTGCAAGCTTGCAAAATGCTATATATAACACAAAGGTGATTTTCTGTTGTTTATAATTGGAAGCTGTTTCAGCAGCATAAAATTAATGAACATGGAGAAGTTTGGGTTGTCTCTAAGTGGCTGAACAAAGAACATTCCAAGAACAGAATGGTTCACTGTGACTCTTGAACATTTTTCTGTACTTCTCCACGGAGCTGTGTTTAATCAGCCTGTCCAAGTGATACAGTTTTATCTACTGTTCAGAACCACTTGTTATGAAATAAGAGACTCTTGTTTTTAGGCCTGAGTTTTCTAAGCTGTGGCTTCAGAGAATGTACCTCTTATGGCCACGGTCTGTGTAACTTTTTAACTTGGAATACTGGTAATTGAGGCAACAGGGTGCTTTTCTCTCCATCCCTGTTTTGCTGAAGCTTGGGATCAGTCTATTTATAGCTGTGGTAAATGCCATAGACCAGTTTGATTTCCTGAACAGCAACTGAGACTGTTTAGAAATAAAACTTGTATTAGTTATGGCAGCTCCTTCAGTCTTGGTAGAGATTTTGTCAGTAGGGACCATAAACATCCCAGGAATATCAACTGTAAAAATAACAGCAAGAAAAGAGAATTCTCGTAATGAAGTACTGCTGTTCCTCACTGGCAGTTTGTTACATGGCTACATGTAAAGACTTTTCAGGTTTTTTGTGCTTGCTGATCCTTGGTTTCACTGCCTGCTTGGGAAGAGGCCTTAATTCCAGGCTGCTCCTTCGGTGCTGTAGCCATTTTGCACGTTGGAACAGCAGCAGCCAAGGGGAATTGTGGCAATGTTCTAAGGTAAACTGAGGGAGTAAATAAGAGAACAAAGGTGCAATGGCAAAGCAGGCAACAGAAGTAAAATACTGGGAATCTTTTCCATAGGAGCCATGCAATGCACTCTGAAGTTAACATCAGAATTCATTCCAGGACAACAGTTATGAGCTGGCTTTTCTTTCTATGCAGTTTCTTTGCTTTGGAGTTAGCGAGGTTAAATGTACAAAGGGGTGAGGGTGGAGGGGAGTGGGGCTGGTCTGGTTAAAAAGTAAACACAAAGATAGGAACTGTAAGAACAACCCAGCCCTGTGGCAGAGATCTGAGAAGAGCTGAAAGCCTTTTTTCTCTTTTCTGCTATAGTTGGAAATGGAGGATGAAGATACAATTGATGTGTTCCAGCAGCAAACAGGAGGAGTTTACTAAAACAAACACACAAAAAAGAACCTGCTACTTTCCTCTCCAGAACTGTGCTCCCGCAGGCAACACTTCACAATTAGAAAAATGAGACTTGGTTCAGCCACATCCTGACTACTGCAGTATAGTTTTCTCTCTTCTCTCTGATTTTTTTCCTATTCCTTCTATTGTACATAAAGTAACTGGTGACGTGCACAGACATAATGCATATTTTTTTTAACTAAATGGCCAATGGTATGTTTTGATCAACATTTAATGGAGATGGGGTGGGAAAACAAACTGGTTCTGTGAAAATGCCCCTCTCTCCGTTAGTGGCATGCTCCTTCTACTTTTATCTTTATATTCCAGTAAGTTATTTTGCTCTCACTGTTTAAAAACAAAAACCTTGCATACCTTGTTTGATTGGATAATTTCAATGTTTTTCTTTTATCATTGTAAAACCAAGGGCAATTTTATAACTTTTTTGTACGTAGCTGTTACATGTAGAGCAATCTCTGTCTAAGTAGGGGTAAATTACTCTTTAAAAAAAAAAAAGGAAAAAAAATCCTAGATAGTTTTCCCTTCAAGTAAAGCGTCTTGTTGTTTAAATAAACTTCTTGTTTAAAATAACCAGTTTTCTTTTCTTTTTCTGTGGAGTAATACTACTCAGCACCTGTATTTCTTTCTCTGCAGCACTTTATGCTTCTCAAATCTCAGCTTTCTCTGTGGTAAGTAAACATAATCCCCCTAGTGTAGTCAGAAGATTGTTGGAAAATCAAAGGCTGCCTCGAGACCTGTCAGTCAGCAGTTGAACTGGAAATAGAAGTCAGTTTTATTTTGATTTCTTTCTTTTGTGAATGTTCTGCTAAGCCAAAATTGTTTGATTAGGCAAACTGCAAAATACCGAACTACTTACTAGTAATGCCTTGGATTGAGCTCTTTTTGTCAGTCTTTATTAGAAGCATCAATATTGTTGTTGCAGTAGTTTACTTAAGACTCTGTATTTGAATGCTTTTTGATGTAAACATTGAGTTAAAAAGAGCAAATAATTTCGTTGACCATTCAGTTTACCATGGTATCAAATGGGAGATGCTTGGAAATGTAAAGCAAAAATAAAAAATTGAGTTCTGGTTTTGGGTGTATTTAGCTGTGGTGGTGGAGATTCCAAGCTCTGCTTTACCCCCACTGTGCTGTTCCTGCCTGGAAGGGGGAAAGGCTGGAAGTCCTGAAGGGAGCTAGTGATGGTGATGATTTTCACGAGTCTTTTCCACAAGGTTGTTCTTGGGAAACTTCTTGGGGAAGTTCAGAGGTTGCAGTGAAATCCATGGATGTTCTTGAGAGCCTGTACACCTGTCAACCCCACGTCCCCCAGCATTCCCTGATGTCCCAGCAGTGTTCCACTATTTTGCAGTGTTTGCAGTAAGCTATTCTAGCCATTAATTTGTTACAAGAAGTCACTTTTTGGTGGTAGTTTTTGTAACAGTTGATTCAATAAGTGATTATTATATGTGAGGCGTGTGCCTGCCTGGTCTGGAAATCCTTTGGGGCAGAATGGTGGCTCTGTGCATTTACCTGGTGAATTGTAACCCATTTGATTTGTGCCAGGATTTAATACATCTGAAGGAAAAATAGGGTCCATTTTTGCAGTTGCTTTTGACTCTGTAGCTGAAGAATTTAACCTGCTGTGTGCCTTTGTTTTAATTCTAGGAAATGCTACTGCCAAGCAGAGTATTTCTTATTCTGGTGTGTATCTTGTAGACTTCTGTGGTGTGTTACAAGGTTGAAATTCCCTCTTGTGAACAAATGTTTTCATATCCAAACTCACAAAGGCCTGGAAAAAAATACTTTGAACTAAAAAAGAGGATGGTGGGGGAATACATTTCAGCACCTTTCCTGAGTTACACATGGAATACATTGCTCCTTGGCTTTAGAGTCTCTGGCTTTTAAGCTGGCTAAACTTCTGATATTAGTGTATAAAGTTCTTTCAACTTGATGTCCTGCCAAGACTTTTCCCAGGAGAAAGCTGTCTTTATCTTGTTTGGCCAAAAAAGGTGTTTGGACTTGCTTTAGTTTCTGAAGAAAGGGTGAGGTCTCCTTAAATACAATTTTTTTTTCAGCTCAACTTAAGACTGTGAAGCTCAAAGCTCCCTGTTGTATCTTGCCTAGTGTGTTTTTTTTATTTCCTGAGGCAACAGAAGTCAAGTGACAGGTCCTGAAGAGCTTTTAAAAACAATGTCTTCATTTCCTGAATTAGTGGAGTGTTACTTCATCTGTCATGAACTTATGTGCGGGATTCACCTACGTTTGTCCATGTCTTACTGCTGTTACCTGGGTTTGTTCCTCATACTTCTGAAATGATTCCTTTAACAGTTCTGAATGGTGTTATGTAAGGTGGTGGCTGCAGTCAAAAACTGGTAAAATGGTCTTGTCTGAGATGTTTGTTTGATTAAACAACCAAGAAACTGTCTCAAAGAACTTCAGTGACTTAGTGCCTCAAACATTGAATTTCCTTTGGTCTGACAAACTGAAGTGGGCTGATTTCTGGTTCTCATACATAACACATTTAACAGTAAGCAGAAATACTGAACATTTCTTTAAAACAAAACAAACAAAAAACCCCAAAACCAAAAACACCACATTTTTTTAGAACTCTCCTCCATGGTCTTGCAAATACTTCTCCTTATGTGAGAACTTGTTGCTTGTCTGTGCTGCTCCTCTGGTGCTGGAAATTTTACCTGTGGATTCCTGATTGCTGGAACCTCAGTGGTTTTGCTGTGACTGTCTCCTAATGCCAGGGATGATGATTTGGAAGTGATATGAAGTACAGGGATATGAAAAATGTGGATTGTTTGGAGTTCACTTTGCTTGATTTGTGGCAGTTCTCATGTTTGCCCTGGTAGCCACATGGACTGCTAGAAGTCCTTGTGCTGGAGGAGAAAGAGAAACTGGGCAAAGAGGTCCTGTCAGGCTGGTTGGGAGGTAAGTTTTTCATGTTTATTAAACAGCTGGGATCTTTCAAGAGCCTGGGCAAATTATATTATTACCCACAATTTTCAAATCATGTGTTCTGAAGTGATTGCTGTGCAATTTAGTTAATATTCCCCCCATGGTTTTAAAGAGAGAAAGAATGGAGTAAGTCCTAATTGGATGCAGATCCCCTGGGGGGTGTTGTGGGTGGTAAGACCCTGCCTGCAGGGCTGGTGGGGCTCCAGTCCCTCACAGTTTCAGCTTTTTAAAGGTGGAACCAAAGTTGTTTGTTTCAGGTACCTTGAGTGAAGCATTTTTATTCACATGCAGGGCACATAATGACTGGTGTTAACCTCGAAAATCTGGGGAAATCCTGGGGATCACACCCATCCAGAGGGGGCTCTTGTGAAGGGTCAGTGTTGAGTGCCCTGAAGCGCTGGTTCAAAAAGGGGTTCTGGGAGTGCAAGGCTGCTCTGAAATGGAATCTGCCAGACTGCCAGCGGTGTAAGGAAATACTCCAGGTGGTAACACGAGAGGGATGCCTGTCCTGGCACAGGGAGGTGTCCTCAACAAAAGAAAAATCCCTGAAGTAACACTTAAGGTAATTGCTGCTCCAAGTTAACTGCAGTGTCAGAGCAGGTACAGCATCTCTGCAAGGGTTAAGGTTGGAGTGAGATTATTTTGTAGCAGGAATATTCCTCTCCAGTACCTTCACTTCATTACTTCCAAGTCAGTGTAACATAAGTGCTGTTGTTTGCCTGTTGGATACTGGTTCTATTGTGTCTGGTACTGCAACATTAATGAAAAGGCATAATGTGACTGCCTCCAAGAGAGGAGACTTCCAGGCTTCAGCCAGTTGGAAATAACTGGATTTCTAAGGAATAGCAAGTTGTTTTCAAGGCTGAAGATGAAAAATGAGATGCTTCCTTGATCATCATCTATTAAATTAAAAATGAACAATAAATTGAAGTATTTTTCTTAGCATTTTAGATAGTGGCCTCTTCTGAGTAGAGTGTGTGATGGGCTGTTGTGGAGTACTGAAAGACAATCTGAAAGCAAATAACTTGGATCATTCTTAATTATATTACCATGCTAATGAATACATTTCATTCTCTGGATTATTGAGGTTTGTTCATTCTGGCTGTAACCAGTTGCCAAACTAAACGTGTTCTGATAGGCAATAATTTAATCCTTTAATTTGTCTTGCTCTTTTGTGCTTAGTGTCAGAATGAATTGGTGGCACAGCACTTCCCCTGGGTGTTCAGGATGTAGGAGTGTGAGGATAAATGAAAGATGGAATTTTCATCCCTGTTTTCAGTTTTTGGTTGACCCTCAAGATGCTTAATTACAGGGGTTTCCTGGTTCCTTCCCTAACACCGTGGCATAGTGGTCTTACTGTACCATGGAGCCCCAGCTGGTGTTTATGGAGTGGTTGGAGTCCCTTTGAGGGAAGAGTTTTCCCTTATCCCTGAAGAATTTCAGTTTGCATGGGAGGGGTGAGGTGTGGCTGGTGGTGCTGGGAAAGGAGTGGCTGAGTGTCAGCAGAGATCCCAGAAGGGAAGGGGCAGCAGGTGCTGGAGAAGGACAAGGGATGAGTTGGTGGGGAGCTGCAGTGGGAGTGGGGAGTGTGGGAAGAGCTGTAGGTTTAAACAATCCCAATATGAGGATGACTTTGCAGGAAAGACTAAGGTTGTTAAAATGTACAAATAGTAAATAGTGTTTCTTCTTTAGAAAGGAGTATTCTTCAGGGAGACTTGGATTCGAAGGACACCCTTTGTGGTGAATTTTGTGCTGGTTTTGGTGATTTAGATCTCCCCCCTTTCAGCATCCAGTCCGTGGATTCCATCAAAGTACATCTGATGCCCTGCAAGGGCTCTTGAAGGATCACTTGACTAAGAAAACTTTCCTTGAGTTGAAGCAAACTCAAGCAAGACAAAAATTGGAATGAAAGCTCTTTGGGCCACTGTCTTACCCTTTCAGAGATGCCTCTTTTTCCACTCAGGAGCAGCACTTTAGGGGACAGTGACAGTGCTGGATGTCCAGACAAGAACAGCAGCATGAGGAAAGAAGAGAAAACCGAGTCAAACCTTCTTTTTTTTCTTTCTTTTTTTGTACCATGTGCTTGGAATAAAGCAGGAATGCTCTCTGTGACTGCCATGAAGAAACCCTGGCTCGTGGGAGGATGACCAAGCTGAGCCTTTTCTCAAAGCAGTGGCATCTCTCCTTGCCTAACCCTTACACTTCCTGGAGTCTTGTTTAGACTTCCAGATGCTTTTTGCATTCCTTGCCAGTGGAATTTCAACAACAGGTGGAATTGTTTGGTGCCTGAGCCTTTCAAACAGCTGCTGAGAATTGTTCTGGTCAAATGTCATCATCCTGAGATGGATCCTAAGCCCAGTTTCTGTAACCATCTTCATAAACCCCTTCATGTTGTTATGGATGAATAATCAGCAAAGCAGCTTTTATTTAAAGGCCACCCTGCAGCCTGGACTGTGAGAGGTCAGTGCAGCCCCTTGAAAAAAACACTGAAGGTTTAGAATTTTAAAGCTGTGTCTTAAAACTGGCTTTGTTAGAGGGAACAGGTTTTTCTTCATCTTGACTTAAAAAAAAAAAAAAAAGGCTCTTTATGTCTCAGGGGTACAAATTTAAGAGTCAAATCCTGT